CCCCCAAAACCCCAAAACCCCAAAACCCCTGTCTAAATCTATTTCTTAATAAAAATAAATTAAAATGGATACCCAAGACGATCTGATGAACCAAGTGCTTGACCAATTAAAGCAAGTAAAAGATGAAGGTAACTTCTAATATCACCTTTCAGGAGCTCGTTTACAAAAAGAAATCGAACAAATGAGGGAGGAAAATGCAAAAATCCAATCCGAAAAAGACGATCTTGCTAAAGTAATAGAAGGTAAATTGCTCCTCAACCCCACTAGAAAACGAAAAACAGCTACAAGACCTCAAAGAAGAGAATCCAGGTAACCCCATTCTCCCTTCCATCTAACATTTCCCTACAGAACAAGCTGCTGAACTCACCAAAGGTACCCCCTCTCGAACTTTACTGCAAAATAATAGAAATCTGAAATTTTTTAACTATTTTAGCGCAGGAAGCCATGGCTGGCTCAGCTGTGGAAGGATAAATTTTGGCCTTTGGCTTGGATCAGGATTTTTGGAGATTTGGGAGAAATTAAGGGATTTTTGTAGAAAAATTTTGGGGATTTTGGATGAGAAGGGTTGGGAAATTGGGCTTTGAGGGGAGAAGATGGGTTAAATGGGATTTATAGAGGAAGAAGCTTTGTATGATGATGGGGAAGGATGGCCAGATGACGAAGGAGATGATGGACAAGACGATGTCAGTGCTTTTGAATAAAAGAAGTGTTGTACTTATCATAAAAATGTTGTGACGGATGTATTTTGGTCCTGCTTTTTAATTTTTCAATTATCATTCGAATTATGTGCAGTTAAAGTGAGAAAATATCTAGAGAATATAAATTTTAGAAAAGAGCAGCTTTTGATGATACTTTTGTTATTTCAGCTCAATAATGAAACAATAAAAACTAGCACATATTTCTTGAATTTAATTAAGTTGAAGAGTTGGTTTAAGAGGGAATTAGTAGAATCGAAAGTGTTTTAAATCATATAATCTAAAATTTAGGTCTATTTGGTCCTTTAACTGACGAATCACTGATCTGATTTATTAATATAGATAAAATACTCTAATTCTAAAATTAGAACAATATATCCTTTCTATCTCCACAGAGACACTCAATTGAATACAATTCTAATGACAAAACATCCAAAACAACTCATAACCTAGATTTTTTACATCCAGTCTCTAAACCTTCCTCCAAAATGTCTTCCCAAAACTTCACTTAAACAGCTCTCAAACTTCAATATCCCCCAAATTACCCCAAAATCCCTCAATTCCCCCCTTCACCTCCTAAAATCCCAAAATCTCATCCAATCTCTACTCCACTCCAGATCCCTTCTGCCCTAAAAATCCCCAAAATTTTAGCTTAAAAATTCTTCAACTTTCCTGAGCCCAACCGGGGTTTTGGGGTTTTGGGGTTTTGGGGTTTTGGGGTTTTGGGGTTTTGGGG